AAACATAAATAAGGGCAACATCAACTGCTCGGTCGAATTATTTATTTTCCTATTGTGCGTCTATTTATCAGTAATGAAAACATCACATCAGTCGTCGCTTTTATATATTCAGAATAATATTTGGATATCATCAATAAAAGTCGAATTAGATACAATTCAAAGTAATATTGTGACCTATTCTAAGTATCTCTCGCCTTTTTCTTTTCAGAATCTATCATAACACAGATGAATAACTTCTCACAGGTTTTTCTTTCTTCATAGAGCACATCGATCGTGCGGATAGATCGATGTACCTAAGTACACCGAAATAATTTCGTCTTCGTTCGTTGAAAATGGGTATGACTCAAACAAAATCATCGTCTCGACAAACAACTATGTTTGTTTTCATCAAGTTATTTCAATATTGATAATCAACAATATCATACACATACCTTTAGTCATTGCTCTATGATTAAATAATACATCGAATTTCATACTTCTATTGAATTATTATAAATATTATACGTAAACATCGATTATATCATCTTTCGTCATATGAGAAAGCGAACTTTGTGGTAATCGATAGACGAAATATTCAAAACCAAAGCAAGAAATGATATTTTCTTTTCTTTCCTTCTTATACATAGATAGTGTAAATCATTTGTCGATGGAAACATTACTACAATCAACATTCCATAAACTGACATGTCAACCACTATCTCTTCTACTCGAAAACAGAAAGATGATCGACATATCTTATTCAACATCATCATCAACAGTTCTAATTTTACTTTCGAATAAATACGTATATGATTTTATTTCATAGAAAACTTCGATAGAAATATGAAAAACTATATAGTATGGGTTAGTCGTTTGAGTAAAATTTGAGATTGTTAGGAAGAGAAAAAGAATGCTGTGAAAGAGAAACTATGATTATGATCTAACTGCATTGTAAAGAAAAATGAGCAAAATAAAGTTGTGCGTTTGAATCTTCGTTTGTTTTATTCAATTAAACATCATAAGTCAATTGACCATCAATGTTGCTAATCTTAGAATTCAAGTCGATGCTTGTTGGCTTCCATTGACCGTTTCTTTGTTGACATGTTGCACTCAAAACTGTGCCTTTGAATGAATAGTCTTTGCAGGTGAGTTGATAATCCGAACCACGTCGTCGCATTTCACTTCTTACTTCTTGTGCTTCGTCATCAGCTAAACAAAAAAAAACAATAAAAGAAGATTCGTCATGATGTTCTCTATGTTCATATTATTCTCTGACAAACTCACATAATGTTCGTCGGCGGAGTTTTAGTTCACCATCAATGTTTGCCATCACTCGAGTCAAGTCGAGAGCTGAAACCAACAAGCTTTGATCGCGTTTTCGGCAAGTGCCAACCAAATAGTTGTCACATACTGAAACACGAGTACACGTTTCACCAAAGTTGTTTCGAGTTGCCAAAGCAAGTTCGTCGTCGCTCTCATCATTGGATGGAAATCGTTTTGCGAACGCTGCTGAGTTCAATGCAACACATAAAACCAGGAAGGCGAATGAGACGAAAACAGGTTTCATGACTGTCGGATTGCTGTTATGTATCGATGAAGTAGATGATGATGATGTGAATGAAAAATGGAAAGAATCCGTCGCTTTATATACGCATCGAAGTGTTGAAAAACAACTAATTGTTGATTTGAGGATACACCAACGAAATTTTGCCAACTCATACTAATCGATACAAAAATAAAACGAACATAAAAACGAATGCGTGGGTTGTGACGTGAAGAATAGAGTAAACGCATATCTCAAGCATATCATTGATGTTATGATTAGTTCTTTGCTGATTAACTATTCAACTATGATCGAAAAGTATATGGTGAGATTTTTGTTTCTGTGCTGAAGAGTACTAGCTCAAAAGTGATTTGTGATATACTCAGCTGTGAATAATGAACAGATATATACAATTTACTACGACTAGTTCTTCGAACGAAAGCCGATTGTGGATCTTTGATGATACAACCCAAACACAGTGAATTATCGATTAATAATGCATATGATTCGATCAACATCTTGTTGGATGCGAATTAGTTGGTGAACCATTGTGATTTATTTTAGAAAATGTCGCTTTTCGTTTGAAAAGCCACGTTGAAACATACACCTGGCACATGAATGTTTACAAATCGTTGTATTATCCGAATGGAAATCCTCCATTGACAAATCTTCATTTCGGATCTCATTCATGCGGACCGCTTGTTGCCAGTCCGATTTGGGAAAGATCCGATTGATACTATCTTGTATGTCATTCTTTGTATTTTCAATCCATTGATTTATACTTTCGGACGCTGAAGCAATTGGTAAATGATCAATTTTATTCAATCGTCGTACAATTTTTCTGATCGAATGCACCAATAAGTCGACTGGAGGCGTTCTTGTGCAGATAATGTACGTGAGAAAATGAGTTACGAATAGTTTATAAATGATAATCGCATTTTCTTTCAAAGATTTCGTTAAAATAGTTTGTACTACCACTTTGATAGTCATCCAGAGTCCCGAGCGACGAAAAGGTGCCAATTCACGGTGCGACCGGATTTGATCACGATGTTTTTTCTTAAATGGAAGGCAGATTTCAGTCGCATGATTATCTGTCAATTCTTGAAAATGTTGAATCCACCATTGGCAGACATAATGTGATTCGGGCACATCGCGTATTTCATCGACTTCACGAGATGCTTTTTGTGCTTTAGAATATTCAATCGTATTCGACATGAAATCTGCTAGAATTTCGCAGTGCACTTTGGAGTTGAGTTGACCTCGATCACATAATCGATATGTGGTTACTGGAAAACACGAGTAGTGACGCGTGATTGACGAGGTGATGGTGGAATTTGGTAATAAGACTTCCCATGCTGAAACTATCGGCTGATTCGTTTCATCGATTTCGATAAGAATTGCAGCATTTTGCGCATGAAAATAAAGTGGAAGAAGCGTTCCAGTTGATAGTTTTTCAAGGGTGGTTTGTATATCTTGTACCGACAGATTTTGAGGATTCTGAAGCACAGCCCAACGTTTGATAGTATCATGGAAAATACGAAAAACGGGTGGAGTAAACGGCACATGAGCAGAAGTAACCGAGTTGAAATATTCATTAAGGCATTCAAGTAGTTTGTATTCATTCTCGTGTTTGCCTTTTATCAAAAAATCTTCATCAGCTGAATCTGGTAGATGATGCGGAAGGAATAAATGGTTTAAAATTGATTCATCCATGAGTGCAAATATGTATCTGAAAAAGAAATAACAGACTTCATACTCTAGTCGAGATAAACGTATTTTGACCAATCGTAATAAATAGCAAAACTAAATATTTTTCTATAAAACCAGAACGGAGAGAATGTAACTCAAGAATCTGTTTTTTTACTACGTAGGAAGATTGTAGATGTTATCATCTTAGCCAGTTTAGTAGTGATAAATCACTTGCGACCACAGACTTTATATTCATGAAAAAGTCCACACTGAGAAAAAAATGCATTCTTATATACAATAGTCACAGTATCGATATCTTGATAACGCGAGCATAGTAATTTAATCTCTTTCGCAAACATCGCCGTAAAAGATTTACATTCATTTCATCAGCATATGAAAGCGACTAAAGTACAATATAAAAGAAAATTGATCATGATGTCTTGCAGAGAACGGACTCCACTCTACGAAATAGATGCCAACACCAACAAGATTCTGTACGGACAAACATTTGTGCTCAATGAAACAATTCTTTGAGTGCTGACGACGCTTATAATAGTGTTTCAGCAGTCAAAATATCATCGTTCTTTGACAGTCTGTTTTGAGTTTTTTACGCTCTTTCTCGATGCGCCACAATATGCGCACGCAACTACCTTTGATTTCTATACTTGATTTGTAACTATATAACTTGTGTATATGCATAGCCTTCATTCTATCAGACGAAAATTTTACTTTCTATCGGTGACATTCATCATTGTCGAGTAATTGTATTTGGAAGTATAATGTGGTGCTGCCAATTTTTGAGATATGTTTCTTTCCTTCGCTTTCGAATCCATTATTAGCACAGATAATTGGAAAATTATTTGAGATAATGCGAGTAGACTATCTTACTTAAGAGATTCGCCCACTTTCAAATACTGACTGCTATGAACTTGATAAATCATTGAAATAAGAGAAGATTCTTTGTTCATCAAGTGAGATACTATCGAGTTTGACTTCGATTAATGTCGGTTATGTCGTATATTATGTAAATGCTGGACTCTGATTGTATTTATCCTTCTATTAATGAGATTTATAACATTTTTCACCGTTGTGTTTATGATTATCGAACTGGAAGTTTTAGTCACTTCGAAATTACTATTCAATGGCTCTGAGCTGTGCTCTTATTAATGCAATTCAATCGTTTCAGTTTACACGTTCCTATTAACAACGACGACAACGACGACTAGTTTTTTAAAGGCAACAAAATGCTTTCTATACCTTAAGCATGACGACTACAACAACATTTACTCCATTAACAAACTCTATGAGAGAATAGACGCATATTTACTCCAATTGTTAAACGAAAGAAACCTACTGCAGAGTTGCTTGTATGCTAGAAAGTGCAACGATGTAAACATTCCTCTGTTTATAATGCTTACGCCCATGTTTAACAGAGCATACTTTTTTCGCATCGCAATGATCAAAATCGAATAAATAAAGTAGATTGTTTCATTTTTCGTTACTGTTGATGTTCTTTCTTTCTTTCTACACTACATAAGACACTTCACAGTGGAAGATATCACGTTGTGTTTCACATCCACTATTGTTTGATTAAAGGTCGTGTATAGTCTCCGTTTTCTTTCCAAAAAAAGAAGCAATTCATCAAGTTGTACTCCTCAAACATTCGCATTTGATCATTTCTATTCTGAATTAACATGGTCAAGTCTAACCAGAAGACTAATAAAGTAGTGAGCGAAAAACTCGATCCAAAATCGCTCAATACTAACCCTCAACGATCTAATCCATATTCTACAGTTGTCTATAATGATAATGCACCCAAGGCATCACCCAAATCAAAGTTAGTATAATTCGTATCAATCGATAACGAATCAATGTATGATGTCACTAGATGCAGCATTTCACGCATCATTTGCGTACAACTGTGTGTCCTGTTAGGACTGTTGGTGTTAGCAGCAATCATCATTCCTATTGTCGTGTTAGTAAAAGGTAACTGTACATGGTCAACGGCTCTAATGAAATATTCCGTCTCTTGTTTTTAGATAATACGTCTCAGACACCAGGTAAATATCTCCATACATTCGATTCTTGTTTTTCTCTCAAGTTTGTTTTGTTACTCTTGATATAGCGTGCTCGAAAACATATTCAGATACTTTCATAAATGGAGTTAGTTCATCTTCACAGTGTGCAGCATGGCAATCCTTTCTTGCTAGCTTGACTTGTACGACCTATTCAACACTACGAATCTATGGTTCGAATGACCCAGTTGGCATAGTTCTGAATGATCCAAATGTTGTGACTGCTTTGGCAGTAGCGTTGCGATATAACACATCAATCATCGCTCCGTCGAATGGAGTGAATTGGAGAGCATATCTATGTAGCGGTGGCATGGAAATAACTACGACAGGATGCTTCTGTTGTTGTAGCGTAGGTTACATATTACGACCATGTTGGAACAGTGGTTATTGGGGTGGTATTCTGACAACACCATGTGTTGGTCCAACGCAAACGTTGTCTATTCATTTCGAATGACCGCAACAAAAAAAACTGATTATATAAATAAAAAGAAAACTGTCGTTCGATGTATTTTTCTTTATTATTGAAAGACAAGAAAAGAAAGCTTAATTTACTTCAGTTTCTTCGATGCATTCCCAATCGAAAAGTAATGAGGTTAAAAATGTGTTTCTGCTGTCGACAGTGGTGCCACAGAGCGGACAAATANGAGGGTAAGTTCCCAGTTCTGTAAGGAAATGATTAGTTTTTGCTGTATTTTTTAGGAACTCTAGGAATTCCTAAAGTACGGTACCTTGGACACCCCTCAACTTCCCATGCTGAAACTATCGGCTGATTCATTTCATCGATTTCGATAAGAATTGCAGCATTTTGCGCGTGAAAATAAAGTGGAAGAAGTGTTCCAGCTGATAGTTTTTCAAGAGTGGTTTGTATATCTTGTACCGACAGATTTTGAGGATTTTGAAGCACAACCCAACGTTTGATGATATCATGGAAAACACGAAAAACGGGTAAAGTAATCGGCACATGAGCAGGAGTGACCAAGTTGAAATATTTATCGAGACATTCAAGTAGTTTGTATTCATTCTCGTGTTTGCCTTTAATCAAAAAATCTTCATTAGCTGAACCTGGTAGATGATGCGGAAGGAATAAATGGTTTAAAATTGATTCATCCATGAGTGCAAATATGTATCTGAAAAAGAAATAACAGACTTCATACTCTAGTCGAGATACACGTATTTTGACCAGTCGTAATAAATAGCAAAACTAAATCTTTTTCTATAAAAATAGAACGGAGAGAATGCAACTCAAGAATCTGCTTTTTTTTACTACGTAGGAAGACAGTAAATGTTTTCATCTTCGCCGACTTAGTAGCAATGAATCGCCTGCGACCACAGACTTTATATTCATGAAAAAGTCCACACTGAGAAAAAAATGCATTCTTATCTACAATAGTCAGCATCGATACCCCGATAACGCGAGTATGGTAATTATAAACCCTTTCGCAAACATCCTCGTAAAAAATGTACATTCGTTTCCGTTTGATCAGCATATGAAAGCGACTAAAGTGCAATATAAAAGAAAATTGGACATGATGTCTGGCAGAGAGCGAACTCCATTCTACAAAATAGATGCCAACGCCAACAAGATGCTGTATGGACAAATATTTGTTCTTGATAAAATAATTCTCGAAGCGCTGACGACGCTTAGAATAGTATTTCAGCAGTCAAAATATCATCGTGTTTTGATTTCTATATTTGATTATTTACTATATAACTTGTGTATATGCATAGTCTTCATTCGATCAGACAAAAATTTTACTTTCCATCGGTGACATTCATCATTATCGAGTAATTGTATTTGGAAGTAATGTGGTGATGCCAATTTTTTGGATATGTTTCTTTCCTTCGCTTTCGAATCCATTATTAGCACAGATAATTGAAAAATTATTTGCGATAATGCGAGTAGACTGTCTTTCTTAAGAGATTCGCCTATACTTTCAAATGCTGACTGCTATGAGCTTAATAAATCATTGAAATAAGAGAAGATTCTTTGTTCATCAAATGAAATACTTATATCGAATTTGACTTCGATTAATGTCGGTTATGTCGTGTATCATGTAGATGGTGGAGTCTGATTGTATTTATCCTTCTATTAATGAGATTTATAACATTTTTGACCGTTGTGTTTACGATTATCAAACTAAAAGTTTTAGTCAGTTCGAAATTACTATTAGATAGCTCTGAGCTGTATTCTTATTAATACAGTTGAATCGTTTCAGTTTACACATTCCTATTAATAATGCCAACAACGACGACGACAAGTTTTTTAAAGGCAACAAAATGTCCTGTATACATTAAGCATGACGACTATAACAACAGTTACTCCATTAAGAAACTCTATAAGAGAACAGACGCATATTTACTCCAATGGTCAAACGAAAAAAAACTACTGCAGAGTTGCCTGTGTGCTAGAAAGTGCAACGATGTAAACATTCCTCTGTCTATTATGCTTACGCCTATGTTTAACAAAACACACTTCTTTCGCATCAGAATGATCAAAATCGAACAAATAAAGTAGATTGTTTCATTTTTCGTTACTGTTGATGTTCTTTCTTTCTGCACTGCACTGCATAAGACACTTCACAGTAGAAGACATCAGCATGTTGTGTTTTACATCCAGTATTATTTGATCACAGGCCGTGTATAATCTCCGTTTTTCGTTTAAAAAAAAAGAGCAATTCATCACGTTGTATTCCTCAGACATTCGTATTTAATCATTTCTATTCTGAATTAACATGGTCAAGTCTAAACAGAAGACCAATAAAGTAGTGAGTGAAAAACTCGATCCAAAATCGCTCGACACTAACCCTCAACGAACTAATCCATATTCTACAGTTGTCTATAATGGCAATGCTCCCAAGGCATCATCCAAATCAAAGTTAGTATAGTTCGTATCAATCGATACCGAATCAATGTATGATGTTACTAGATGCAGCATCTCACGGATCATTTGCATACAACTGTGTGTTCTGTTAGGACTGTTGGTCTTAGCAGCAATCATCATTCCTATTGTCGTGTTAGTAAAAGGTAACTGTACATGGTCAACGACTCTAATGAAATATTTCGTCTCTTGTTTTTAGATAATACGTCTCAGACACCAGGTAAATATCTCCATACATTCGATTCTTGTTTTTCTCTCAAGTTTGTTTTGTTACTTTTGATATAGCGTGTTCGAAAACATATTCAGATACTTTCATAAATGGAATTAGTTCATCTTCACAGTGTGCAGCATGGCAATCCTTTCTTGCTAGCTTGACTTGTACGACCTATTCAACACTGCGAATCTATGGTTCAAATGACCCAGTTGGCATAGTTCTGAATGATCCAAATGTTGTGACTGCTTTGGCAGTAGCGTTGCGATATAACACATCAATCATCGCTCCGTCGAATGGAGTGAATTGGAGAACATATCTATGTAGCGGTGGCATGGAGATAACTACGACAGGATGCTTCTGTTGTTGTAGCGTAGGTTACATATTACGACCATGTTGGAACAGTGGTTACTGGGGTGGCATTCTGACAACACCATGTGTTGGTCCAACGCAAACGTTGTCTATTCATTTCGAATGAACGCAACAAAAAAAACTGATTATATAAATAAAGAGAAAACTGTCGTTCGATGTATTTTTCTTTATTATTGAAAGACAAGAAAAGAAAGCTTAATTTACTTCAGTTTCTTCGATGCATTCCCAATCGAAAAGTAATGATGTTAAAAATGTGTTTCTGCTGTCGACAGTGGTGCCACAGAGCGGACAAATATTTCTTCCGTCATTCAACCATCGATTTATACAGGTTTCATGAAAAATATGATGACATTTTGTGAACACACTATCTGTGCTCCACATGTCCTCCAAACATATTGAACATTCGCCGTAATAATTTGAAAAATTTTTATGCATCCCCAAATCCACAATCGCCAACGAAATCTGATGAATTGCGTCAAAATTTGTTTTTATTTGCTTGACATATCTAGACATAATAATATTGTAAATCGCAACGACCCATTCACGAAAATTTTCAGGTTGGGGCGAAAAACAACCATTATTGCATTTTTCAATATCTTCTTTTAAACTGTCCAGCAAGCGTTGTCTTCTTGGAATAAAGACATAATCTACACTGTCATCGCTCATATTATCACCAAATATGACATCTTGTACTGAATTTATCATCTGGACTATATCCCTATCGCACCTATTGATTTCAAGATATTTTTGTTTCGTCATTTTTTCATCATTACAATGCGTAAAAACGATCGTACACCATTTCAGGACACGCTTTCCAAACACGACTGTTAGTAATTCAATATAATATCGAATATCACTAGAAATTCGACCATAACTGATACATAAATATATCTTATTGTAACCGACCATGGAATTCTTAATAATTGCCTTTAGCATCGCGAAAACATGTTTTTGATCAAATCTATTATCTCCAAAACCAATGGTATCTGTAAAAGCATAATTCGGATAATAATAATATGTTGTAAAATAGGTTGTAGCACCAGCGGAGCCTTCGGACGTCTTTGCTGGTTTAGACATGGACGTTTTTTTTACATCATTATTGAAGATAGTGTTGATTAGTGTCGATTTACCAACTCCAGTGGGCCCAAGAAACAAAAATCGTTTAGTTTTTCGTGCTGTTGAACTTGCCATCTGATCAAATATTGTATAAGAAGGAAACTCTTTCTAATAAACATTACAGACGTTGGTTTTTTACCATGAAAAGATTACGTATCTATATTTTTTGTTTTATCATTAAGTAAGCAACAAAAAGAAAAATAACAGAGTTAAGAGAAACGGCGCATGCTAGTTTTAATTTTTTTAAACGTCGAATAAGGCAAGGGTTTCCTTGATTCGAATTACGTTTTCATTTTTCGCTCACTCGAATGAGATTAGCGTCATAAGCTTTGATCATCTCGCTATAGTTATCTCTATTCGTTTCTGATCAACCATATCCATTGAAAAATTTCTCCACTGTTTCTTCTGTCATTGGCACAGCTGAAACGCATTTCCCCTAAAGTTCACTTGCCACTTTTTTCAAGATAGCTAAAAACGGTACTCATTTTTTCTCACTATGGTTGAGAAGTGACATAAACACGGATTGTTCAAAATGTTTGACGAGGACTTTCAAAGTTTCGCGATAGAATGCATATATCTTAGTATAAATCTCTTTTACTACGTGTACTTTGGCCTGACTGATCTGTTCCGAAAAAGCTGCGCAGTTATAATGCTAATTTCTTTGCGGATTAGAAACGAAAGAAGCTAAAGACGTCAGATCTTATAGAAGCATAATAAAACATCTATAGTATCCAATAAAAATCAATACTGGTGCTGTGATTGAGCGAAAAGCTAAACTTTCGGTGAAAGAAACAGACGAGTGAACATGTTATTATTACTGAATGGATTTGTTCTTGATAATATATAGATGTATGTCAACATTGAACCTCGTATTCACTATAGTCGGATCACTTTCACCAGAAGTTTCAACATTTAGTAAATGATGAGTTTTATTGTGGGCAAAGACAAGAACCGTTTAGAGATGAGATGTTCGTTATGGATTTCAAATTTTATTTCTGCACTTTTGATAGCATTACAAAAGAAATGCATTTTAGTGTATATAGTTTAATCAGGAAAATGTCGCATATCATTTGCGTATATAGCTTTTATGGCCACCTGGAGTCATATAATACTGTCCTCCACGTGCCCCTTCATAGATTGCTCGCCCATTTGCGGCACCATTTGTAGCCATAAATGTACCAGTAAATCGACCACCATGTGCACCTCCTGCGCCATGACTGGCAGAACTTGCTCTTCCATGTGGCATACCCATGTCGTAACTCATTGGTGAACACGGCATACCCATGCCATAATTCATTGGCGACATGGCGGCGCCTCCTCCTCCTCCTCCACCTCCCAATCCTGTCGATTGAAGCATTCGAATTATTGAGTTGAAATCATCGCTATTTCTAGACTGAGAAGCTCGAGCTGAGTCCAATTGACTTCTTAACTAGAATAAAGAGAAATGAAAAAAAAATGTGACTTTCTGTTGATACTTACATCTCTCTCGCGCTGTTCTGCTTTGCGTTGTTCCTCTTCAAAAGTCTTTCGAAGAGAACAATAAATACGTCAGGAAGAGGCTCAAATCAATTGCTGAACTTACTTTACGCATTTTATCTTCTGTTTTCTTCTTTTCATCTTCTCTTGCCTACAAAAGTGTACATATTATCATTCGATCGTTCTATTCGACAAAAACAAACGCACTCGATCTTCGATAGCCTTCTTGTCGGCCTCCTTTTTTCGACGTTCTTCCTCTTCTTGTTTCCGTTTTTCTTCTTCCCGTTTTCTTTCAATACGCTGGTATTCAGTATTCGTATAATACTTTCCATCATTACTTCTTATCATCGCGTCGATCATATCAATCAATTGACTGATCTTTTTCTCCAGTTGTTGACCATTCAATTTGTTGTTTATGCTAAATATTCGTCGACCGCAATCTTGAACCAACCTACGTAGTTCTGGTGACGAATCAATAAACTCATGCAGTGTTTGACCTTCTTCCAATTGATCTTCGCGGGTGAAGACGACGATACAATATCTGGCTGCGTCAGTGCCGAAAATATGTCGAATGAAGTCGACCGTATTTTTTTCTTCAGGTGTAAATCGATCGATACGTAGAACGATGAGGAATGCGTGAACACCTGGAGTGGTCATTTCGAAGATTTGAGACGCAATTTTGCGTTCCACCATAGTATTGGTCATGTTCGAATCAGTATCGAAAAACCCAGGTGTATCAACAACAATAAGCTTTTGCTGTTGACCATATTTGTTAGTATACTGATATTCCCCATGGGTGCAATCCTTTGTAATTGATCTGGCAGATTGAGTAGCATGAAAAGTGCTTCGAGAGTGTAATAATGAATTGCCAGTAGAACTTTTTCCTGGGAAAAGTAATTCTAGAATTTCTATTTGAATAGGATAAAAAATCTCACGAACCATTGCCTGTTTTTCCAATCAAAACTATACGCATTTGGCTTTGTGCTGACGCCTGAAAAATTTATAGAAGAGAGTTTATTTTGTAGAGAGCAAATCTTTTACATCGTACCATTTGTTGCTTGTATGTCTCACTTTGTATGAATGAATTTCACACAGCGCACATACATAGTATAATATTGACAAACACATGAAGAAAAAAAAACCCAGTTTAATTATTATTGGACGGCGCACTTATGCGTTGAATCAGAACGCAGAAAACAGTTGTGCAACATGTTTTGTGGGTTTTTTTAAAGAAGTTATTACGCATGAGAATCTGAGTGTCATATTGTGCCTGATTCTCTTACCTGGAACATTGTATGATGAAAAATTGTCAACTGGGACGTGTACTGAATCACGGTTCTGAAGGAATAGTTCATTCTGGAACATGGCAAGGAAGACTCGCTGCAATTAAAGTATTAAAGAATCAATATGCTCGACGTGCTGAATTCGAAATGAAATTAGTTCAAAATTTAGACCATAGAAATATTATTAAATATTATGAACTTGAATATGAACAAGGAATTGCTTATTTATCAATGGAAATGGTTACAGGTGGTGATTTATATGCATTCATTCAAGCAAAGTATACTTCGGATTCGTATTGGACAATCGTTGATCAAATTTTACAAGATGTCGCTCGTGGAATGGTATATCTTCATAATCATCGAATTATTCAATGTGATTTAAAAAGTCATAATATTCTGTTACGAGAAGACACCCATCAGGCAGTTATTTGTGACTTTGGCATTGCCAAATGTATAGATAATGACGATCAACAGCAAAGACGTACGAATACAACAAAAGGTAGAACAACTGATTTTCACTCTCATGATTATGCTTCGAGATGACTTCTAGGAACGATTCGGTGGATGGCACCTGAGCTCTGTACTCCACCACCAGAACCTGCATCGTACTTGTCAGATGTTTGGAGTTATGGTTGTATTATTTTAGAAGTGATGAGCGCTCGTGAACCTTGGAGCGAACAGTTTGTTGATGATAGTCTGCTGTTTCGAGCACTTCAACGTAAAGAAAATGCTTGTTTGTTTTCACAAACCTGTACGAATCAGTCCGGACCATCACATTTGCGTCAATTACTCATACAATGCTGTTCATGGTCAAAAACTGACCGCCCACAATTCTCTAGAATCCTTCAACAATTCGACGCCGACGAGCACACCGATGATATGTCGGTCGATAGTCCCGTTTTCAATGAATCGCCATCAACTCCTGAAGAAACTGAGCATGTACCAAATGTTATCCGTCAATCAAAAATCAAACACGTCAGTCATGGAGGACGGTTGACTGGTGAAGTCTATACTAGTGCAGGGACAGCCAATGGTCGACCCATCTACCAAGGTGTTAAGGGTGGTTTATATTATTTAACACCTAGTGGTTCGAAAATTTATTTGCATAAATAAATCACTCATAGACAAATAAATATATGTGCCACGAGATCGATCGATGTTCTCATGTGTCATGTAAAGTATGGGAAGCCTTCTAATTAATTTGTCGTTTCTGTTATTTGAATGAATTATCCGTAGATATTATATATTTTTCTGAAACCATTCCGTTGAAAACTCGGGTAGTGAAGTATACTCATCAATTGTAAGAATGTATCAACGATCAAAGTTAACATATCGATTGAGTCAACATCAACTTGTAAATGTTTTTTATTCACTAAAGATCAAAAGAGTTGGTGAATATTTTCACAATTTACCGGATAATTAGGATAGTAGTGACGATATCTTGATATTCCCTGGATGAATTAATTGTTTAACGCGTTCATTGATCAACAGTTCTTACAGTTGACTTGCATGGGTTACTATTGATTTCATAATATCCGAATGAACGCTATCGAATTTTGTCACATCGCAAGACAAGACAGAATAAACAAACTTCTCACGATTCATATTATCGTTTATTACTCCTGCCTGGGCGAATGAAATATTGTAACGAATGAATGTCTTCACTAAAGTTGAAAACTTTTTCGTATGCAGCATAGATCTGATCCATTGAAGATTTCAATTATTAAAGATTCTAGCTCAGTTAACTTTAACAAGCACTTTTCACGATGATCAAACGTTGGAGACACATTGATGATGACACGTTTTCACAGATTTGATCCAATTGTAATAGAGATGCTATACCTTGCCGATCGTCATCGGAGTGAAAAGAAAAATTCAGATGAATTAAAGAAAATTTTCAGAGACACTGTAGTATTTCGTTGAATCGATCAATTATCCAACGATCGTTAATAATCAAGTATGTCAAATTGAGAAAATAAACTTTGTGATATGGTACTGCTTCGACAGAATCGATGTTGAGATACGTTAAAAACTTTGTTTGATGAACAATGATTTTACTGGCCGTGTGATCAGAATCAGTTTTAGGAAAATTTCGTGCGAATGCTAATGATATCGTCTGACAAGGTAAAATGTTTCGGATATTTTTCATGCGAGTTTGGAAAATGATAAAGAAGAAGCGGGATATGATCCGGCATGGACTACTCGGATAGTTGTAGATAGGTGCAGATAAAATCCAATGACAATCAAGATATTCGGCGAAGTCAAGATTCATTGGATATGAACCAAAAGTAGGATTCAAATTCTGGCTTATATCGATTTTGTGTCTTATATGCGTAGAAAGAAAAACATCGTATGACTTCAACATATTTATTTTAGGCTGCGAGAGAATAGGTGGAGAAAAGTGATATCAGTTAGCATTCAATCCGACATTGGTATCGATCGAACGTTGAGCATTACGTAAATTTTCTTGCGCCTGTAGATAGTTCGGGTGATCCGGTTGATATGAATAAGCATAGATTTCTAAGGCTTTTGTGAAATGCTCAATAGCCTTTGTATAGTCTTTCTTCATAACATAAGCATTACCGATATGCGTATGAGTGATGCCGATATCTTCATGATTTGCATGTAATGTTTTTTCTCTTACTTCTAACTGTAATTCAAAACACATCATGCCCTCTTCCCATTGTTCATTGACAATCATGATGTGTCCAATTTGACCATATATTCGAGCATATTCCATTTCATAATTATTCGATCTAAAATATTTTAATGCAATTTGAAGATGATCCAATGCTTCTTTATATCTTCCCATGTAGAAAAGCATATCACCAATGTTTCTAAATGATTCCATTTTGTCCTTTTCCTTGTTTAATCTTTTCCATATATTCAATTCTTTCCTAAAATATGCACACGCTTTGGGGAAATACTTTTCTTCTGCTGCTACGGCGCCCAATCCTCGATAAATATGAGCTTTTTCAGTCATTTGTAATGGCTTCATATTTTGAACTGTTCGAAAATATTCATTTGCTTTTGTATAATTTCCTTGTTGGTAAAGCAGGAAACCTGGCGAAACTTTATCCGCAACGATTTCAGCTGCATATTGCCTCATAATCTCATGTAAATCAAAATTTTCATCGTCGCACAAGCTTAACACCGCATGCCAGCGTTGATTATTCTCATCAAATTCGACAGTTTCGATGTGAAAAACTGCACCAAGTGCTATTAAAATTTCATCTTCATCCACAAATTGGCTTAGATGACTGATGCTCGCATACGATTTCGTGCTGTTTAAATGTGTGGCAAGTTTAAATTCATACATAATCCACGTTTGATCCGTATTCGTATTGGGAACTCCTGCTCCTGAATAAATATATGCGACTTCAGGATTTGTACTCGTGCTAATAAAATTTTGCATGGAAAAATAGCCGCCTTGTCGTTGACGAAGTATATTTAACTCTGCATGAGTGATCGATTGTCCACGATAAACAGTGAGTGAAGAACTACATGAGTCCGTCGCGGATCTGGCACGAAATTGTTCGTACTCGGCAACTATTTGGTTGTAAAGATCGACAATAAACATTCGCAATGCGAATAAAATGTCAAAATCAGATTCTCTTAAAGCTTTGTTCAATAATTCGTACAGAAATTTATCTTTTGTGTACCAGTGTATAGCATTGCTACGTTCATAAGTACGATTGAATTCATCGATTCGTTGCCGATTTTTCTCATCATCGTAGAATATGCGTGTAAGATGAGTTATCATATCCTGTTTCGATAACGAATCGTCATCAAGTGACATTTTCAGAAAAATATCGATAAGAATATGAAAATACATAAATTTAATATTGAGTAATTTCGATGCACTGGCAACATCAATCGCATTTTCAATGTTGATAAAAGTATTAAAAGGAACTTGCTGGGCACTTAATCGGTTTTCATACGAAAGTTTAACTAAGACTTGATCAATATGTGTGAAACTGCCTCTAATCTAAATTACATACACGAAATAAAAAGTCATTGTTGTCATTGTAGAATTGTTACTCGATTATATCGATCGGTCCAATCCGAGTTTTTCTCAGCTGTCTGATTTAAAAGGTAAATTGCTTTCAGCTGGTGACATTGATCGATAAGCAATAGAATTTCCTCTGTAATCTCACCCGAAATAATCAATACAGTGTTTGTATCATGCATATCCGTTATATAATCGATACACCAGTCAATATTTTCGAAAACGTCCATTTGTAATCGTTTTCGGATATCTTCTGCACAACTTCGACCAGTCAGATCAAGCCAAACTATTTTATCTTCTGTAAGATTATTCATATTTATCTGATAAAATCGTGAAAAGTGAATTCGGTATTGATCGTTATATTCACCTACTTGAACCAACAATAACAAAAAAAATGAGAATTACTACGTTTTTTTTTCAAGAGAACGTACGCAAAATGCTGCGACCTTTATTTTTCTTTTAAGAAGAATAGAAAATTCTTCATCACATGTCTGCGTAGTTAACAACATTGAACCGTGAATTCATAAAAGTATACGTTTGTTTACATGTATTCGATTTGATGCATTATGATCTACAGATAATTCTACAACGATAGAGATCAAACGGAAATGACTACATTCATGAGTCAAAATAAAATTACACGAAGAAATAAACTGCGTCACATGTGATCAAATAAATAACCAATAACGCTGTATTCTTTTAAACAACACGTTACATTATGGCGGATGGCGTCACTAAACGAAGAAAAAATTAGTCACACATGACGTTTATGTACACAGTAGCGTTTAATAAAATCGTTTGATCATGGAGTCGCTGCCCGATGAATTGCTCCTACTCATTTTCCGTTATTTGAGAAAACCGGATATTATTTGTGCGTTTAGCAATCTCAATTCTCGTTTTCAACAAATAGTCGATCCTTACATCCACAATATCGATTTAACACCAGCGAACACTGTTAACTACAAAACAATTCGTCTAATTCTTGACGATATTGTTCCACTATATGCTGATCAAATTCAGTCTCTCACCTTCGACCTCGGTCGACACCTATCTTTATTCTGGCCGTATGTGCATCATTTCAACAATCTGAAATCTCTCACTATCGAATCCGATAACACTCGTGAGTTCCATTGTGTGTATCAACTAAATGAATTCCTTACGAAAGTTCTTTCCTTACAAACTTTAATTGAACTTTCACTCCCTTCACGAAAGGAAATTTTGAGCACGATTGCTTATCATGCAACATCTCATCTATCAACACTATCTTTATCACTATTTCATGATCTTACATTAACTTCGTACATGCCTAAAATGCCTTATATAAAACGTATTTTCATCGCATTACATAACGCTGATTATTTGCATTCACTATTTATGATAATGCCAAACCTTGAAGAACTCAGTTTATCCTTATTCAATGCCAACTGCTATTACCAAGGTCATTATCCATTACCTGTACCTGTTTCTCTTGCGAACCTGACTGTTAGATTTGGTGCTTCAACCGAAGATAGTTATCTTTGTCGCCAATCACACTTCAAATGGATGAAAGACTTCTTGACGCAGTTTAAAGATAATGTAAAATCGTTGACATTTATTGGACTCTATGTTGATAACGAATTCATTGAGCAGGATAACATTCAAAAATTGGTTCAAAATTTCTCTCGATTGCAAGTATTTCATTACGATTTTCACACAAAATGTCAACCCGAGCGTTGCTTTACAAATATGACAAAGAGTTCTAGAGTAAACCATTTCATCATTGATTCTCCTATCACTGTTTCGTTATGTTCGACACCAAATCAATTGTATATGTGTAATAAATTGAAAGTTGTCAACGAAATATTTGATCTTGAACATTTGTTGTCATTTTACAAATTCAAACCGAATTACAAACTCCGAAATTTAAGGGAGATTGTTTGCTATCACGACCTACAAGATACGACCTGTATAAGAAGTCAACTCATTTCGAGACTGATCAGTATGTCGCCAAATTTACAAACTATTTCTGTTCACTACTGGCACGATCCACGATCACTTATCAAATCGTTCAAAGAGCTGTCTTTTGATCGCTGCAAAACAGTTTCGAATTTCAAATATCTCGCTCAAATGACATTTGACGACTATTGTGATCCGGGATTCTTGTACGAACTAGCAACACTGTTTCCGCAATTAAAAACCATTACATTTACATGGTTTTCACAAATTAACGAAAATAATTCGACACAACTTACTCGTTTGATTCGACATCTACGAAAATATTTCGCCCATATGACTTATCTAAAATTCGCAATAAGCTTGTTCCATTTTAATTCTCAGCCACTGTTTGATAAAAACGGAACAATGTTGAATGAACTAATGCGACAGAATATGGCATACCATACAATTGACAGAGAAAGAGAATCTCGTTTATTGAATATTTTACTATGAAATCTGGAATTTTAAAGATTGTTTGCTTTGGCAAACGAGTTCTATTGTTTGCATTCCATTGTGATTTAGTTCATTAATAATAATGACATCAAATTCCATCTACTTTTTGTCCTTAGGAAAATATACAATTGAGAAAGACCATCTCGGGAATGAGAATTCGCTTCTATAGTCAATATTGATCGAACTTTTTCCTCCGATGCTATATCACTTACGGCTACGATCAGACAATGGAAACATGATGTTCATCAGGGGTGACCTAAGATCATGGTGGATTATTCTGCCAATAATGATTGGCTCTGCGACAGGTAAGATGTAGAATGGATCTAAAGTATACTGTTTAGCTCAATTATTCGTCGATGTGAATTAAATTCAATACGAATGTATGCAGAGCTTTGAAAAATATTCTATGCCCTAGCTAACTCCAAAAATATTGACGTTATTTTATTTCTCTCCATTAGCTGTTTCTTACAATCAACCAAAATTTTGTCCAAATGTAACATGGAATGCCACTGCAACAACATTTGCCGGGAGCAGTATTATTGGCACACAACCTAGCGCTCTCTTTGTCGATGCAAATAATACAGTTTATGTGACCAGCTATAGCAACAATAAAATCAAGGTGTGGCCTGAAGGATTCAGCTCACCCTCGAAAATTATGTCTGGTGGTTTGAAAAACTCGTATACAATGTTTGTTACCTCTGCGGGTGACATTATTGTTGATAACGGCGATACATACGGTCGGGTGGAAAAACTTCTGCCAAATGGAACAAAATCTACCCCTGCCATGTACGTTAGTTCCTATTGCACTGGACTTTTTGTTGATATAAATGATACAGTTTATTGCTCATTGGCAAAAATGCACGAAGTTATCAAGAGATCACTGGGAAGTAATTCGAACACAACAACAGTTGCTGGAACAGGACTAAATGGAAGTGTAACACTTGATTTTCCCACAGGAATAATATTAGATACCGATAAGAATCTTTACATTGTCGATTATTACGGTAATCGTGTCTTTCGGTCTGGACTAGATGGCTTTCGGTGTTTAGTGGGATGTTCTGGAAAAAACGGTTCAAGTCCCACCGAATTTTATTTCCCGATCACCATAGCTTTCGATAGTTACGGAAATATTTTCGTAGCCGACGAGCAAAATAATCGTATTCAAAAATTCGATCTAATGACAAACTCATGCGGCAATTAACTGATTCTCTCACGCGAGCAATCTATGTCACATCTACATATTCTTAGACTCAACGACACTTGCTCCAACCAGTACACAATATCAAACACGTAAATGAGATTACTTAAAAAGATTACTGAAATGTAACTCTCTTACCTCTAGAATATACAACATATAATCAAACAATATTTATTTCATCAGTCGAACAAACGTCAACAACTACGACAGCAACGTCTACTGCTTTTCGAACGATCATTTCAAATCAAAGTAAAAAAGATTCTTCAACAGTGATGATGACCGAAGTACGACTTATGACATTTATTAAGGTTGCTTCTCTCCGAATGTCACAATCATTCCAGCAGCACCAACATTGAAGTCACCTATGAAAATTCGTCGCAGTCAAGATTTTTATTTCATATCACTCATCGAAATTAATTGCAATCAATCATTTTCCATCTCAACCAAATGGACAGTTAGCAACTGTACATCGACATGCTTCAATCAAGTTCAAATTGATGACAGAGTTCTTACCACTTCTAGTGAACTGTATATTCCAGCCCGGACACTTCCATACGGGACCTACCTATTCCAATTATCAGTAATCATGCTCGATATACCTCAGCTGGAAACAACATCGTCCGTTTATGTTGATATCACACCGTCAGGTATCACAGCAAATCTTGTTCAATATGGAACATCAATGATCACTAGTGGATACAACCAAGACCTCCTATTTGATCCAGGCTCATATTCTATTGATATGGATGAACCTTACTTCAATGCCACAGTATGTAATGTCTTAATAAACGCACCATACTTATTAACATTGTTTCCCTTTAGAACTGGAAATATAAGTACTACTGTCGAATCTATGGTCAGTATAACTTTCCCAATTTACAAGGATCTCTGATCACGATCGATGATCCATCGATTGATCCGCTCAATCCATCTTGCCTATCAAATAGAACAGCATGGAAGTTTGCCAATTCTATCCATTCCGTCATCATCCTTCTCTCTCAATCACTTCAATCGAATCGAACATATCAATTCATGGTCTACATGGAGAATCGCAAGAATTCATCGCTTCAAGCAACAGGCTACCTTCTCGTCAAAGTCGAACATACTCCGAGACAAATGATAGTTATTGGGTAAGGAATTGTTCAAATGCTCTGCAATGATATTTACTCTGGTGTTTAGTTGCATTATCCAAACCATGTGCATTCCAAATCTGGAATTCCAACTAGTGAATCCAACGACACAGGTTGCATTGTTTTCTGCATGCTCAGGCAACTGTTCAACGATTGTTAATATCACTTGGAATGTCTACTTTGGCTCGATGAATTCGTCTTCGAATGTCACCAAATGGACTATGTTCAATCAAACAGATGTGTATGAAAATATCTGGTTCTTTGGTATGTATATTATTTGTCTTTACAATCCTCAATATTCGAAGTGTATAGGAAGGTATACGGGAAACTTCACGTCAACTAGTCAGTTGTTCCTGATGAATCCACAAGTCAGCCTTTGGCGATTTGAAGTTGTCTACCAGTTTCCATTCGAATCGAGTGCAAGTACATTAAATTTCGTCATCAACCAACCACCCTCGAATAGTATCTTGTTTCAGTCATCAATCCTCTCTCAACTGACACAATCAACAAATCAACTCACAAGATCATCAGCGGTATGGCTAAACACTTTCCAAATCTCTCATTTTTCTTCTCTTCGACATAGTTAATCGCATCGAACAAATGCTATCAACTGGCTGTTCGTTTGAATGCAATATCGACACAAATCTCATTCGAAGATGCTCAACTTGCTGCCGATCAACTCACTCAATGCGTCTCCAATGTTCAGACAGTAACTTACTCTCAATTCCCTTCGATGAGAATATCCTCTGAATTCTAGGCGGTCAATGGAGCACTGCAAGAACGAACAGCAGTTCTTGATGTGGATTATTCTCGTGCTAATGATTTTCCTGCTGATTACGATACCGATCTGGACTCTGCATGGTCAAATCCGAGTAAGTAGAAATGCTTAGTTCGGCGAAAGAAGGATTATTTCTTATTTGAAAAGAGTTGTTCGTTCACGGAAATGACTTTTCAGCGGAAACGATGGAGAGGAATCGAAATCTATATTATCAAAAACAAGTACAAGATCAGGTCAATCAACAAACGAAACAGACACTTGCAGTGTTAACTTCTGCACTACATAATCATTTGAACATCGCTCAAAATTTCACAATCAACTCATCATCTGTCTTCATGTTATTACAAATTACAAACACACAATCACTTTCAAATCAAATCATCAAACCAATTGCTAGTGCACTAATCCAACTACCATCCAATTTCACTTCATCCGAGTCTTCAGT